ACTAGTTTTGAATAACCACTTTAACCTTCCTTCATCCAAATATGCAAACTTTAAAGTGATTTTGAGCTTAAATGGCTTACAAATAAAAAAATCCACCATAAAAAACCACATATATCTAGTCCACAAAATGAGATATGCTACTGATGAAATATGAGAGTATAAAGTTGGTAACCTTTAGAACCGAAGAATCGATGGAGGAATCGAAGAAATCTTGTGATTACCGGCGATGAGGAAGAAGAGAGGTCGGCGATGAAACAAGAACACTGAGCTCGAACTGGCTCAGGCTTAGGGAGGAAAAAGGGGTATATAGGAGGGGACTTTTAGTCCCGAACGGAGCCGGGAGTAGACTTTTACTCCTGGTTGGAGGGATCAACCGGGAGTAAAAGTTAACCTTTAGTTCTCCAACCGGGACTAAAGGTCCCCTACAGCAAAAGCCTGCCGCAGTAGCCGTTGGGTAGGGACCTTTAGTCCCGATTGGAGCTACCAACCGGAATTAAAGGTATACACAGCATATTAGTATTACACCTAGAAACAGAGCATGGATTTAGTAAAAACACCATGAAGAAAGTTCCTCGGATGTACAATAAGAACAGACCTGGAAACATAATAAATAAATTCGACAGAACTGTTTGCAATGTCACTGAAGTTTTTTTTTTTTGATAATGATACCACTGAAGTTAGAATAAACAAAATTTTCAGAGAGAAGAGAGCAGAAAGATTCGCAGTCTCAAATCCATTAGCAGGCAATCTGTAGCAAATCCAAGGTGTTCTATTGCACAGGCTAAATCAATTTTTTTTAAAGCAAAGAATGGTCATACCTGAATCGTTGCCCAGATCCTCAACGACTGCAAGCCGGCCACCCATCACCGGACTTTTGACTCCCGGACGGCTTGCATTTTCGGCAGTGCGTTCGGCACCTCTGCTGGCGCCCCATCAGCAGAGCTCTGCCCCTGCCTCATCCTTGGTGCATGCAGCCAGCACGTGCCGTGCGACAGCGAGGACTGGGAGTGGAAAACGACGGAAGCCGTGCACAACACATGAGATCGAAAAGACAGCAAACGTAGATGAATGGAGAAAAGGAAGCAAGACGGGGACCAATCGATGGACGCGAGGGAGGCATAGACCTATGCAGATGCAGCAACCTCGACGGCAATGGTGCGGCCGCGGCAGGAGCAGTCGGACCTGTCGAAGCAGCCGCGCGGAGAAGAAGGGGCAGTGACCAAGGGAGACAGAGGCATAAGGCGCAGGCGACGGATGCAGCGTGGCAGGGGCCAGCGCAGACGACGAGGTCGTGGCGCGGCGCGTGGAGAAGCGCGCCTCCGAGGGTGGGCGACGGCTCCTAGGCGCAAACTTGGCCCATCAATCAATTAAAATTATAGAAGAGGGAAAGGAGGGGTACACATGCACGAGCTCCCGGTGCCGCGCGTATGAGTGGGCCTGAGGAGGCGGTGATCGTTTGCGGGAGCAGACGTAAGAGGGCAGCGACTGGAGGACCGATACGTGAACAGTAACCAGGATCGTTGCGGTAACGCGGATTCCAGCGGCCGTACGGGTAACAGTAATCAGAGCGCCGAGAACGCAGCGATTCTAGGAGCTATATGGAGTTACATATAAAACTACACGCTCATGGTAACTTTGCAAAATTTTCTATTAGGTTGTATAATGCCAATAATGATCTACCTTGGTGTCATTATTAATGTTTTCAAACTTGTTTAATTAATATTGTTTACCTCATACGTACAGGATTTTCGTTTGGGCCAAGCCTAATAAATTATATAACTACTAAAAGAATAAAATTAAGTGAGCTTATTTTCATGTCTACGGAACAAGCTCAAAGTGAGCGAATTTAATAAAGGTAATAACACAAGAAGCAGAAAGTACCAATATTGATACATGAAAACAAACATGGTTGAACACTATATACTCATTATTTATCGGAAGTCAAAATACCAGTAGCCACTTCACAAGTCTGGCTGGCCCATTTGCCAGGTGAAGGAGCTTGTCGGATGGACCAGATGAACAAGTGGGCTTCACTTCTCCAACAGAATCCACAATCCAAAATTGCTGACTTGCTTACGATCGAGAGATGTTTATTCATTACCAATATAGATTGAACGACAATGGTGTAATATATAATCACTAACAAGTGAAATAATAGAACAAAAGTAAGATTTAAGGAATAAAATTGAAGCAAGTCACGCATGGGAATTTTAGCAGCAACTTACATAGCACGAGATATTGAAGAGTCACTACTCTTTATTAGTTCTTGTTGGAGAATGGAAAACATTTTTTTATGAGTCCATATCATTTTTTATCGTGGATAGCAATGTTCCTTGTTCACGAGAATTATTGTTCCATGTTTAGCACAAAAATATTTAATATTTATTTGAGAAATTGTCACAAAGACAAAAATGTTTTTATTTTAGAAAAATGTTATTATAGCTTCTTGGTTTGTGAAATTGTTATATGTTCTTGTAAAAATGGCTTCCTTCAATATAAAAATATTCAACCTTAATAAATTTAAAAGTTCCATTTACTTATATTTACAAATGTACTCATAAATATCATTATTATTCTAGTTATTTAAAACAAATGTTGTACTTCCTCCGTTCCAAATTATAAGTCGTTTTGACTATTTTTTGACATAGATTTTACTATATATCTAGACATAGGTTATATCTAGATATATAACAAAATTGATGTACTAAAAAAATTAAAATTACTTATAATTTAGAAAAAGAGTGAGTACTACCCATTGATAGTGTCCCAGGAAGAGAATAAATATGAAATGAACAAGAATAAAAAATTTAAAAGGAAAAGAAAAATAAAAAACAGAAATTTCCAAAGAAATTTGGGAAAAAAAAAACCGGCCCAGAAGAAGGCCCGTGCGGGTGCGCTGTTTCTGACGCCGTCGATGCATCCTAACCTGCGTTCCCCTTCCTTCCGTCCGCTGCATCCCTCCTCGCCCCTCGGCTCCTCGTGCGTTGTCTGTCTCTCTCGCCCCCCTCTCGCTCTCAGACGACTGGTCGGCCGCCGCCGCCGCCGCCCTAAGCCAGGCGTTGAGGCTTTCGTTGGTCTCTTCGCCGGCGACTACCACCCACCAGGTACTCCCACCCGTTCTCTTCCCTTCCCTTCATGCTGTGCGAAGCTGAGCACCGAAACCCTAACCTAAAGCTATCTAGCTATTTGATTGACAAGCCTCCTAACTTCGAAGTTTTTGTAAGAATTATTGGGTGTACATGTGTACACCCATGTCCCTTTACTGGATCCGCCCCTGCGGTGAAGCTCCAGCAAGGAGCCGCCATACCCTGCGGTGGCACATGGGGAAGTCCGTGGCTGCTTTTAGGATACTAATCATGTTTGCCAAACAATCATCCAGATCCTAGACCTATGTGCACATAATTTCCTAGGCATTAATATTCCTATGAAGATAGTTTTCCTAAATTGCCAAGCAGACCCTTACAAGGATGATTCATGTACTCAACTGCAATATAGGTGAATATAGGTGGAGAGGGAGTGCCATATACAGGGCTGTGATACCTTGCCTGAAATGTTTTCCTAGTATATGACCATGACCTTGTCCCAAGTACTTTAGGCTAAAATTGATCTATGGGAATACCATTTGGATTCTTATAGTTGCTTCAAATCTTTTTAGTTGTATGATCATTCCATTTAGTATTAGTCCTAAGTCAAAAAATGATTCCTGGTGAAATGTCATTCGATTGTAGTTGATCTGTATGGGAACAGCTGAAGATCTGAATCAATTTTGCCTGGCATTTCATCAAATCTGGATTCTGACATCTCGAAGTCGATATTTATTCATAGTTTTATCTTCATCACAAAGCTTAGTGCTGTTCTTTTTATGGTACTAGCTAATGCACGTGCGTTATATATAATAGTTAGTACATGTTGCATGCAAAGAAGTAGCTAAATGCTGGCAAACAAAAATAGATGGTTTGCCAGCGTTGAGTGGCAGGCCATCAAGTATTCCAGTTCATGGAAGCCAGATACTGCTGCTGCCAGCGTCGTTGTCACATGAAGTAGCAACTTGCAGTCTCAAGCAATTAATCTGCTCTGATTTTTTCATTACTGCAGAGTACAGTGCAGTTAGTCTGAATGTGCAACCAAATAGCATCCTTGCATTGCCGATGCTATAACACAGCTAGTAGTTTTGTATAGCCTCCTCCATACTAAGCAATTAATCTCTCTGCAATGCACAGCTGTAAAGGCCCTTTTTTGGATTATTTCCAATTCTAACTACATAGTGATGAATCAGCAGTGTAGGGTATCGGGTACCTGGAATGGTGGATCTATGATGAAATGTTTGGTGATCAATCCGATGCCATGAGATGCCCTTTCTTCAGTAGAAATGAGTTCTGCTTGTTTCTCCCAAGTTTGCATGATTGATGATGGAATCATTGATCAGCTACACAACCTTACAGCGCACACTTTCACTACTACACCTAGTAATGAGTAGTCCCTGCAAAAACAGTCAACACATAAGCTTAGAAATATGTTGGTCTGATAAAAGACAAAATTAGTAACTATTTGTGGTTTATCTCTCGCATTGGCCATTTAAAAGGTCATTTAACTATAATTCAGAAATGGCCAAAGTCATTGTAATCTTCTACAATCAATGTTCAAAAAGGCGACGCTAGGCGGACGCCTAGGCATGACTAAGCGCTAGGCGAGGGGGTCCCGCCTGGCCTAGGGGGGTAGGCGGCGGCAGCTCGTTGGCAGCGCCGGTGGGGGAGGAGGAGTGTTTGGCGGAGGTCGCTGGTGGGGGAGGAGGAGCTTTGGGCAGAGTTGGACGACAGGCGCGGATGTGTGCGGGCGGCGGCAGCGGGCCTGCCGATGGGACTTTGCCGCTTGCGGAGATGAGGAAGCAGGCCTTCATCGCTGGGAGCTTGGGACGCGCTCATGCGTAGAGAGTGCGGAGGGTCATGCTCGTGCGTGCTGCAGAGCTATGGCGAGGTGGCTGGAGATCCGGAGTGCGGGGAATGCGGAGGTCGCACTCGTCGCTGTGCAGCAGGGAGATTGGGAGATGGATAGGAGGAAGGGCGGCGGCTGAGTTGGCCGAGCAAGTGGCAGACCTGTGGGATGCGGCGTTAGGGTTAGCCTGCTGGTGGTTGCTTATATATTCCAGCGAAATGGGCCTAAGTTTCATGGGCCGCGGTCTACTAATTGCTGCATCTAAGGTTGGAGACTTGGAGTGGGAGATGGGCTGGACTCTTACCTCTTGGGCCTTTCTATCTATCTAAGCCCACTTTTCCGCTGTTTATTTTTTTTCTTTTAGAAGATAATATATGTATATTAGTATATATATAAAATGCCTAGGCTCACTTAGGCTCTAGGTGGTGGGTCACCGCCTTGATACCGCCTAGCGCCTTTTTGAACCTTGTCTACAATATCAACATTAGCTCATTTGGAGACCACTACACAAGAATTATCGAAAACAGGAAGAAACATTTTCAGCATGATCCTAGGTCTATGCACTGTGTGTTGCCATGTGCCAAAAATATCACAAGGAATACGGGGACAAATCTGATGCAAATCAAACAACCAAAATGACATTATGTTTTAATTCATATATCATGATGCAGGGCATTGAATTTTTTGTTTCCTAATTATTGGAGTTCATGAGGCACCAGAAATCCGGTCCAAACAGGCATTGAAATTTCAAAACGTGCTTCAAGAGGTACATGAATTAAATTCAAAGAGATAAAAGGATACAACAATTTGAGTGGTCCAAAAGTTCAGTAGCTTCTGCCCCCAGGTAAAATCATATCATTTTTTTTATATATAAGCACAAGGTTTCATGGAATATATGGTCTGATATGTCTCATTGTAGGATAGCCTGTTTAAAGGACAAAAAAAAACTCAATTATCAGGAAATTAAAACAAATCTTAGTCCCACTACAAGATTCATGTGCCATTCAAATAAGCTGCAATTTGCTGAAGTTCCCAGAACTAAGTTAACTAGCACATCGTTTGCTTTTTCAAAGAGAAACCCTTTAAATAAAATAGAAGGTAATGCTTTTCTTCTATGACCTTGTAACAAACCGATCCACACTAATATTGTATTTAGATAGAGAAGGTAAACAATGAAGGGCGGGCCTGGTGCAAGCGGTAGAGTCTTACTGCCTGTGACCGGAAGGTCCCGGGTTCGAGTCGCGGTCTCCTCGCATTGCACAGGCGAGCGTAAGGCTTGCCACTGACACACTTCCTCAGACCCCGCATAGAGCGGGACCTCTCTGCACTGGGTATGCCCTTTTTTTTATAGAGAAGGTAAACAACAAACCTCAAGCCTACACTTCCAGAAGGACTACCTGTTCTATAGACCTTGACACCAAAACATGATGGATAAGTCATGTGTGCATTTGGTCTTTAATGAAATTCATTGTTGCTCACATGGTCCTTGTGGATTGTTTTTACATTTTAGGACAGCATCTTAGACTAGAGGAATGACATCTTAGAGGACTGACATCTTAGACTAGAGGAATGACATCTTAGTTAGGGACAGACATCTTAGCATCTTAGACTAGCATCTTGGCATATGCTTGGGTGGCTAGCGACCTATAAATATGTAACCCCAACCCCTCGAGGTTGGTATGGCGTTTAATGTGAGCTTGTGTGAGAAATAGACAAGAAAATTGTCCTAACTCCTAGTGTCATCCTCTCTCGATGAGAGTAAGAATTCTCCTACTACCAAGAGTGAGAATTCGGACTGACTAACAAGTGGTATCGAGCCAGTAGTATCCTGTAGCTTTGAGCATCTCTCCTCGCTCATCCCCTTGCTGACCTCGCAATGCCCAGTGAGAGTAGCAGCAGCTCGGCCGCTCTGTTCACTCCTCTCCCGGCTCGTCTGGCGACCCTCTCCCCCACGCAGCAGCCCCGTGTAGCGCGTCATGTCCGCAGGCGATCTCGGCCTTCAGTCGCCTCGAGCCTGTGGCGTCGGAGAAGCGAACTTGCCGCAGCAGAGGAACGCGAGCAGCGGCGGCAGAGATTGCAGTTGCTTGGCGGCAACAAAGCGTCGAGGTTAGCGGGCAGGGTGGGCAACAGCCAGAGCGAGGCGAAGCGGCGGTGGCGGCGAATGCGGCCAGCGTCTTGGGCGGCGGCGAGGTCGAGCTCTGTAGCGGCGGCATCGGCGGCTCCATTTCGGCAGCGACATCGCTGACGCAGAACCTCAGCTGCTAGAGAGGAGGCAAACCGCAAGCTGGCGGCGCGGCGCGATGGCGGCCGCGCCGTCCACGGCGTGGCGGCAGCGAACAGCTTGAGAGCGCTGGCGCATGGCGCTCTGGAGGAGGCGCGCGCCTGGCGGTGGCGCTCTGGGCAGCCGCCGCGCCCACGATGCGCGGCGGCGGCGTGAGACAGCAGGCGGACGCGCGGTGGCGCTCTGGAGGAGGCGCGCCGCGGCAGCGGTGGCGGACGGGTCGATGGAGAGCGCGGCCTTCCGCGAGCGGCGTGTCTCTCCCGGATCGGTATCGACGGGTCGATGGAGAGCGCGGCCTTCACGAGCGGCGTGGCTCTCTCTCCCGGATCGTACCGTGGTTACCACGGGCTCCGGTCGTTGTCGGGGACGTCGGTCCGGCGGTGGGTGGCCTACCCTCACCAAGACCAACTCACGTCGAGTGGGCTGCGGTGATGAGGTAAAGCTCAGTGCGGCACATGTGGGAAGCGATCCGGTATGGCGGCGTCGACTACGACCTAGATCGACGGTATTTGGATGCTCATCGCCGCTGCGATCCCGCTGAGAGATGCGATTTCGCTTACCGACAAGCGGATTGCCAAGGAGGCTTTGGGACGCCATCGGCTGCAGACGCATTGGCGGCGACCGCGCCCAAGAAGTCCACGCTGCAGAGCGCCGCAGAGTGGGAGAACACGGCCTTCAAGCCGGTGAGGGCGTTGATGACTTTGCTCTCCGTCTCAACACTCTGTTGCGAAGATGGTGCGATTCGGTGGCGACACCTACGGGCGAGAGAGAGGCGTCGAAAAGCTTCCGCCGCTGCGTCCCGAGAAGTACAAGCAGATGGCTCGCTCGATCGAAGTCGTCTTTGGATCTCTCCACGATGTCGATCGAGGAGGCGATAGGTCGCCTCAAGGTCGTCGGCGCCGATGAGCCCCCTGATCCCTCTTGGGGCCCATCACCACTAGCGGAAGCTCCTTCTCACTCGGGAAGCGGTGGCTTGCCGGCCCGTGGTGGCCGGAGGAAGAGCCTTCTTCCGACGATGACGAGCTGCAGCGTGGCAAGAAGCGCAAAAGCTTGAGACGCGCCAGTGCCGGCGCGCGAGGACGTCGCCGAGGTGATGCCGCGAGGCGCCAGGCAGGCGCCGCCGGCGAGCCTAAGGCCGACGAGGCGACACACCGCCAGCTGCGGCCGGCTTTGGCCATTGGGCCAGGATCTGTCGGCATACCACGACGCGGCCAGCCCACGTCGCCGACAAAGTGAGGAGGAGGAGAGCGGCTCTGTTCATGGCACATGCCGACATCGAAGCTACCTCCAGCAACACTTGCCGCAGCAGCGGCTCTCCTCCACCTCGGCGAGCCAAAAGCACACGCCCTCCTCGGCGGCGCTCGCAGCGACAAGCCCGGCGGGTGGTGCCTCGACACCGGCGCCACCCATCACATGACCGGTCGACGGGAGTTCTTCACCGAAGCTTGACTCTAGCGTTCGAGGCTCCGTCAAGTTTGGGGATGCCTCCGGCGTGGAGATCAAGGCGTCGGCTCCGTCATCTTCACCATGCGTGTCACGGTGAGCACAGTACGCTCACCGGGTCTTCACTACATCCAGCGTTGAGGAACTCCATCATCGACTTGGGGGACAATTTGGATGAGAACGGTTCGCTGCGTGGTGGTTGAGGGCGGAGTCATGAGGATTTGGGATCGTCGTCGTCGCCTTCTTGCCAAGGTATCGAAGCGCAAATCGACTCTACGTTCTTAACGTGCGGTGGCACAACCCCTCTGTCTCGGCGCTTTCGTCGGGACGACGGAGGCGTGGCGATGGCATGAGCGTTCGGGCACCTTCACTTTGAGGCCACAGGCGGCTCGGTGCCCGCGGAGATGGTGCGAGGCTGCCGTGCCTCGACCATGTGGAGCGGCTCTGCGACGTCTGCGTGTTGACGAAGCGAGGCGACTCCCCTTCCCCCGTAGGCGAAGCCGAGCCAAGGAGAGGCTCGAGCTTGTGCACGGGGACTTGTGTGGCCCGGTGACACCGGCCACCTTTGGGAGAACGACGCTACTTCCTGCTTTGCTCGTCGACGACCTCTCCCGCTACATGTGGGTGATGGTCCTCGGCGGCAAGAGAGAGGTGCGGACGCCATCGGTATGCCAGTCAATTTCGCTGCGGAGCGAGTCTGACCCATCAAAGCTGCAGCGTCTTCGCGACCGACAACAACGGCGAATTCCGCAATGGTGAATTCGCGTCGTCATCGCTGACGAGGAGCATTGGCGCCACTACTCTGCTACCGTCTGACCGCGAAAAAAGCGGCGTCGTCGGCGGCGCAAACCCGGACGGTTGTGGGGATGGCTCGGGCCTCCTCAAGAGAGAGGGGATGCCGGCTATCTTCCGGGAGAGCGGTGGTGACGGCCGTCTACATCCTCAACCGCTTCGCCTACCAAAGGCGCTCGGCGGCGGGGACGCCGTCACGAGGCTTAGCATGGGCGCAAGCCGGCGGTCTCCCACTTGCGGGTCTTGGGCGCCTCGCATTCGCCAAGGAGCTTGGCCACATCGGCAAGCTTCGGCAGCAGGGAGCACTCCGGGAGTGTTCGCCGGCCACGCTGGAGGGCTCGAAGGCCTACCGCATCCTCGACCGAAGACACGGCGTATGCGCCTGGCAGCGCGGCGTTGTGTTCGACGGCGGCGAGATGGGCGTGGGGACAAGCGATGGGCGACGACTTCGGCTCCGGCGCACGGCGACTTCACTATCGAAAGTACGTCCACGCCGAGGGCGCAGGGGAGCGGCGATTCTTCTTCGACAGCGCGTCTACCCGACTACCCCAGTCTCCGAGCCTCCACCGACCCCAAAGACTGCTACTCGACAGCGACCACGCTCTCCGGCCGGGACCTCGGGCTGCGATGAGCTCTTCGCCGGCTCCACCCACGGTAAACAGCGCCCGCACTCCAAAGACCGAGCAGCACCACTCCGGCACGTCTACTCCACCACCGGCCGTGTCGAGCACGGGCGATTGAGCTCGCTTCTCCGCTCTCTCACGGCGAGAGCGCGTCGGCGCGTACCACGGCGGTGAGCCGTTCTTGATCTTGACGGTGGAGAACCTTCTCGGCGACCACCGGTCGCGGGGACCGGTGCCTCACGACACTGGAGGGCGCGATTGCACCTTGCGTGTGGCGACGGCGAGCCTCGATGCGTTGAGAGGCGAGAGACGCGCGGCATGGCGCTACTGCGATCTGATTGGAGATGGATGCGGTTGAGAAGAACCGCACTGGGAGCTTCTTGCGACCTTCCTCGTGGTCACCGCGCGATCACCCTTAAGTGGGTGTACAAGTTGAAGAGGATGAAGCCGGCGCCATCGTCAAGCACAAGGCTCGCTTGGTGGCACGAGGTTTCGTGCGGCAACAGAGGGGTCGACCGACGGCGCTTTGCTCTCCGTGGCGCGGATGGAGTCCGTCGCGACTCTCTGCGCTTAGCGCCGGGAGGGTGGCGTGTTCACCACATGGACGTCAAGTCGGCGTTCTTAATGGCGACTTGAAGGAGGAATCTATGTGCACCGCCCGCGGGATTTGCGATCCCGGCAAGGAGAGGCAAGGTGCTCTCCGCTGCGCAAGGCCCTCTATGGCTGCGGCGAACCGAGGGCGTGGAATGCCAAGTTGGAGTCCACGCTAAAGGGGATGGGCCGAGCAAAGCCCGCGCGAGGTGACCATCTACCGACGGGGCAATGGAGGAAATGCCCTGCTGGTGGGTGTCTACGTCGACGACTTGGTGATCACCGGCACCAAGGATGTGGAGGTGGCGGCATTCAAGGAAGAGATGAAGGCCACCTTCCAGATGAGTGACCTGGGGCCTCTCTCCTTCTACCTGGGAATCGAGGTGCACCAGGATGACTCTGGGATCACGCTTCGACAGACCGCCTACGCCAAGCGCGTCGTTGAGCTAGCTGGGCTCACCGATCGCAACCTTGACTCTCACTCCGATGGAGGAGAGGTGAAAGGCCGAGCCGCGACAAGACGACGGAGGAGGTGGGCGCCACACAAGACCGGCGCCTTGTGGGGAGCCTTCGCTACCTCGCCCACACACGGCGGACTTGGCATTCTCCGTCGGCTCGTTAGTCGGTTCATGCAATGACCGACGACGGAGCACCAGCCCGGTGTGAAGAGGATCATCCGCTACGTTGCGGGGACTCGACCACGGCCTCTACTACCCGAGGTGTCACAGGCGGCACACTTCGTCATGCAATGACACGACCACACCGGCGACATCGACACCCGGCAAAGCACGCAGCGGGATCCTCTTCTTCCTCGGCAAGTGCCTCGTTAGGTGGCGATCGGTCAGCGGCAGTGGTGGCCCTGTCCATTGCGAGGCCGAGTACATAGCGGCCTCCACCGCGCCGACTCAGGCGCTCTGGCTCGCTCGGCGCTTGGTGATCTCCTCGGCGAGAGACACTAGAGCGGTGGAGCTGGGGTGGACAACAAGTCCGCTCTGCCCACGGCAAAGAACCCCGTGTTCCTGAACGCAGCAAGCACATCCGGGTGAGGTACCACTTCATCCGAGGCTGTTTGGAGGAAGGGAGCATCAAGGCGAACTACATCAACACCAAGGACCAGCTTGCGGACCTGCTCACCAAGCCCCTTGGGAGGATCAAGTTCCTTGAGCTCTGCTCCAGGACCGGGATGGTTCAACTCTCCCACAAGACGACGCACAAGACTTAGGGGGAGAATGATGGATAAGTCATGTGTGGCTGGTCTTTGTGGGGCTGTTGTTGCTCACATGGTCCTTGTGGCTGTTTTTCTGTTTTTAGGACAGCATCTTAGACTAGAGGACAGCATCTTAGACTAGAGGACAGCATCTTAGCTAGGACAGCATCTTAGCATCTTAGACTAGCATCTTGGCATATGCTTGGCTGGCTAGCAGCCTATAAATATGTAACCCCAACTCCTCAGGTTGGTATGGCATTTGTGTGAGCTTGTGTGAGAAATAGACAAGAAAATTGCCCTAACTCCTAGTGTCATCCTCTCTCGATGAGAGTAAGAATTCTCCTACTACCAAGAGTGAGAATTCAGCGACTAACAAAACAGACAAGTTCATCAGACCATAAAATACAACAAGGTCTGATTGCTTGTCAATAGGAAGATGATAGAATAGAAGTTTTTCCAACCTTTCTTAATGGAAGGACAAATCTCGGTGCTGCTCTGCAAGTGCTGCTAGAAAACGAGTGGATGCAAAAACAGTTAGCAAAGCTCATCCTAGCAAGCTACAGGGCTGGCTGTCTTGTCGCTTGCGCCATCCTGGCAGGTCCGGCCGCACTCATCTGCTTGCGCAGCCCCCGGCAGTCGCGCAAATTTGCTGGACAGTGGCTGTGCAAGCACACATGGAGGATGGGGCATGTCGGTGTCAGCGGCGAGGCAGTGGGGGGCTGGGCTGGGCGCTGGATAGGGTGGGGGCTTCGGGGGAGAGGCGGGGTGGCGCCGTGGGGAGGAGGGGCGGGTGGAGAATCGGAGAGGCATTCTGAAGTCGGTGTTGACGATTCCTGTTTTTTCCTTTTAGTTTGTAGAGATTTCAGTTATATTCAATTCATAATTCATCTTACACCTTGTTTGCCGTCCCGTCCCCCCCCCGCGCATGCATGCGAATGATATGAATACACCATGCATTTTTTGGTGGATGACTAATACTATGCACCATTTATAGTTATTTTGTTTGATGTTAAGTTAGCTTTTGAATTTTATTTTGCAATGTCCATTGTCCAGATTGTTTTTTTCTTTAAATTATTTGCTAACATGAACATGTCGTATTATCTCTCCAGGACAGGCATCAGGCTGTTGGAATATGGACCAACAAGGCATGGATGACCATGTTAGAATCATCTCTCAGAATTATAACCTTGCATAAATTTTTGTGGCTGACTTATGATGGCTAACCATGAATCCATGATTCAGGAAGGGGTCCACGTTGTTGGATTTGAAGTCCCACCTTCACCTGATTCTAGCTACAACAACCCTATTCCTGGAAATGAAGATGAAGGCCGGGAGCCCCCACTGGTGCCACCTCATCTCCAGCATACGCTGCTGAGCTTCCCACCAAGCCAAGACGAATCGAGCCCGCTGCCTCAGCCTCAGACTGTGGTTCTGAACCACCTTTACATCGAGAAAGAGAACACAAGATCCGTGGTTGCTCTGGGGATCACGCACCGGTTCAAGGCCAAGTTTGTGACAGTCGTGCTTTACAAGCCAGTGCTGAGGCGGTAGGGTGTCGATATATGTCTCGTGCCTTGGTCCTGCTTTCTCGTGCAGGACCAGTAATGGTAATGGTAATTGAACACCCTTGGGTTGCAACCCACCGATGAACAAATAGAATCCCACCCCCTCTCCTGTTGTTGCACAGATTCTGCAGAAACAGAAGAATTAAAGCCCCTGTTGTAGTAGTGCAGAAACAGGCGAGGAACCTAGGCTGTCATTTTCGAATGATTTTAGTTGGTGGTGGCAGTGATGGTTCGGTTGAATGGGTATACTTGTCATCTGCGCAGCTGCTTAACACTCAAGTGTTTGTTGTGTCGTTGGCTAAGAAGTGAGAACGTGTGTTGCATCTGTGACTGAGACCGTGTTTTTTTTTTTCTTCCCCTCATGTTTTCATTTTTTGGGTTGTTCATTCAGATATGGTTTCAGTGTGGCGTATTCAGATATTTTTTGGACAGTGGATGGAACGATGGATATGGATCCTCGACCGCCAGCAGTCAGCGGCAGCATACTAGTCTGGTCGTCTGGATCTGGATGGCCAGTGGGGCATGTGTATTCTACTGCTGCTCGGGCTGGGACTGGGAGCTCTGTGTTGTGTGAGCTTTCCCTGCTCTGGCTCTGCCTGGTGGCTGCTGCTCCAGTTGTGTTGGGACTGGACTTGTTGCATTGGGAGAGTGGGAGTGATTGCGAATGCGACCGACCGGCTCAACTCACCACACCAGTATTAGTATTCTCTTACGCTAGTGGTGAGCAGGCAGGAGAGCAGAGCAGATCACCCAGCATTCAACAGGCCAGCTGGCCAGGAGTACAAGTAATCTGGACTTTGGAGTGACAGCGTAGTGAGTCGTCCATCCGTGAATTCCAAAGCCTTGGATCGCATATTCGCATCCATGGACGACATGATGCACCGCCAACTCCAAGCACCAGCCTGCCAAAGCCACAGCAGCAGCAGCAGCTTCCTCGGCGTCTCCTTGTTTGACACCAGCACCGGCATGCTGCTGCTATTGTTGATATCTTCATGGCAAGCGATGACTACTAGAGTAGCAGCCATGAGACTACCCACCACAAAGAACTTCAACAAAAATATATCATGTCGATGCATCCTGCAGATCAGGGGAAAAATGAATATTATTCATTTAGCATATTCCTTAACTACCTTGCATTGCTGCTTCAAAACATGAAGCAACTGTGTTCCAGGGGAAAAAACAAACTAGACGCAACTTAAGTTCAGAAAAATACTCCATCAGTTCTAAAATATAAGACGTTTTGGCATTTTTAGATATATAGATTTTGCTATCCACTTATATATACACTATGTACAGATACATAACAAAAACAATATATCTAGAAAAACTAAAATGTCTTATTATTTGAAACGGAGGAAGTCAAATACTGTTTAAAAGGCTTAACTTACCCTTCACTAGTGAAGCCATTTTTTTTACTTGTCTGGTGCACATTTGTTTATAATAAAATAACAGCTGCCACAGTTTCAGCAAACCAAGCTTACACATTTTCGTCATCTTAATTTGCTTTGCTTGGCAAACCAGCTTTCCGTGAAGGAGCATGTTTTTAGGGGCTTATTGGAGGAAGAAGCAGGAGAAGCCGGAATTTTGGCTCCTTCCCACGAATAAAGCTCTGTGAGAACACGTTTTGTGGATGATTTTCATCAGCGTGGAGCCGTTAAATTTTACCCCCGTGATGTGTTGCTAATGTAAAACGGCTCCAAACGACACTCTGAAGTCATGTTGAGAAGCCACTTTGCCAAAGCGAGGCCTAAAATACAATAAAATGCCTTAACTTACCCCCAAAACTAACAACAAATAAAAGAGTGAAAAGAAGTTACTTGTCTGGTGCACATTTGTTTATAATAAAATAATATTATATGCCACAGTTTCAGCAAACCAACCTTACACATTTGCATCGTCATCTTAATTTGCTTTGGCTATACTAACCAGTTTAGAAGGCAAAAAAAAAATCATATCCTGTTCTTTTCGTCACTGTTACTACTTATATTTACTAATATAATTGAATAAATATCATAATACATGTTTGTGGATGATTTTTAGCATTCTGATGTGGACAACTAAATATATGTTAGTAAACGATGTGGTTTGCTAATGTAAATAGCTTGAATGAAGACATAATGGCATGTGTTAGTGGATGCTGATGTGGACACTTTGCATGGCGAGATAGTTGAATGTGCTAGTGAGATGTTCTAGTGGATGCTGGTGTGGACACTTTGCATGGCAAGATAAATTGCTAGTGGGTTTATCTTTTATAAGAGATAACATAAATGCTGACGTGGAAACTTTGCATGGTAAGATAAATTGCTAGTGGAGTTTATCTTTATAAGAGATATAGATACATAACAGGAATCACAATATATATATTCCATTCCAAATTATAAAACATTTTGATTTTTTAGATACATTGCTTTTACTATGTATCTAAATATAGTGTGTGTATAACTGTACAACAAAAATAATGTATCTTGGAAAGTCATAACGTCAGGGAGTACCTAGTAAGTAACATGCACTAGCTTTTTACTTATAACAAAACTATACAAACTCTCGTGCCAATGTTCCAAGATTCTACAATAGGTTTAACTTTGCTTTCTGCATTTACTTCATGCCTTTCCCATCATGTCAACAATGATCTAGCTTGTTCCATTACTAATGTTTGCTCCATACAGGATTTACCTTTACGCCAGTCCTAAATAAATTCTATAGCTAATAAAACAAAAATAAGCAAGCACCTTTGATGACAGAACAAGGCCAAGCATGTGTGTGTATAATAAATAAAACACAAGCAGCAAAAAGCATCAATATCCATACGGAAAAGCAAGCACACTTGAACACAACAGACTCATTAATTCAGAATTTATCAGAAGACAAATTACTAGCAGTACTTACTTACCCCTTGACCTTTTTAGAGGCCCAAGCTACAAGCGTGGCTGGACCATCTACCAGTTTGAGCTGGTTGGATGCATCAGGTGAACTGGTTGTTGGCTTCACTTCTCCAACAGAATCCACAAGTGCTGATGACTTCTTGTGGTTGTTGATTCCTGGTGACATCCTAGCTTTCAACCGGCGAATTTTAGCAGGCACTCGGGGTGGCAAGCATGGGAGTGTGTTGAGGTACCTTGCAGTACGCTGCATTAGGAAGTTATTAGACCAGATCAGGATTCAGAATGCGCACTCGCATGCATGCAAGCGAGATTTTAAAAAATAGAAGAAAAATTAAGCAGCAAGCACTACAATATATAATTCTTGGTACAAACAAACCTAATGTTGGCCTAGATTGAGATGTAATAAGCTAAAACTTAGTTAGAAACATGCTGGAATTGCCCTCTCAACACACCTATCATCCTAGCTAAAGCAGACACAAGCCACGCACGGAACTAATTAATGACGGAAATTTGAGCAGCAACTTACATAGCAACTTAGTTATAGATTTACATGATCCAATGAGTATGAAATTTTTACTACAGTCTAAGCATATAATAATTAGTCCACCATAAAAATTTCACCCCAATTGGACCATAGAAACTACAGCTATGAATTATTCCATTTAATTACAGAAAAGCATAGATCTAAAGATACACCAAAAACTTTATATTAAAGCATACCATATTATATATTCACTGTGTAGATCTACTTATGTGGAGTCCAACAAAATTGGATTTTCTATTTTATGATTTTTCTGTGATTTACTATGATTTTTTAAAGATTCAGCCGAAATAAATAAAAAGAAAAAGATAAAACCGCCTTCAAAACCGCTTATAGCTGGGAAGGGAGGTAAAATGAACAGTTTTAAAAGTTGAGAGAGGCCTTTTGTCCGGTTTTGAAGTTCAGAGAGAAAAAACGGACTTTTGCGAAAGTTAAGGAGGTAATACAGACTTTTTCCTTAGGAAATATTGGATGGAGGAAGAGCACCGATCCTGGAGAGACCGAGCAATCCAAAGCCCGGACTGGGCCTCCATCGGGCCCGTCTGTGACGTACGTGAGTCTTTCCGTCGCCCGCACGGCACGGCGTCGTCCAGGAGGGCCGGGCGTGGTAGTGGGCCTTGGCCTCTCAGGGTTAGTTATGGTCAAATTCAAATTACAACTGTTTTATATTTGCAAAAGTTGCACTCGATTTTGTTACTTTTATTAAGTAATTAATTATGCTGTAACTGAAAATTAGTGTGTTAAAACCTTGACAACATCTGAATTTGCTTTGATTCCATATCTGGAGATGATTATTAAAAAGATTTGGTACGGTCACCCCTAAAACATCCTCCATCCGTCCCTTTTTAAGTGTTGCTATGTGTTTGTGGTAGTCAAATTGTTTGTAGAAAATACTAACAACATTTGTATCTCCAAATAAATTTATAGAAAATAGATTCAATGATCTATCTAATGATAATAATTATGTACCATAAATATTAATATTTTCTTGTATATATTTGATCAAAGTTGAATACATTTGGCTTCTTGAGAAAAGAGAATGATAGTTAAAAAGGGAGAGATGAAGTGTTACTGTTTTGTAGGCAACCCTTTTTGTTTAGGTTTCAAACCTTTCAACACTCCCACCTCTTTTTCTGGGAGTTGATATATTTCAGGTGCCTAAATTTTTAGAAGTTTTCAGGCAACAATAATCTTAGACAAGTAACCAGTACAACTAAAAGGACACAAGAGACAATTTTCATTTTTTTGCTAAACCAAACATTGACAAAATTGTATATTAGCTGAACAGCAATAAACACTGCTTTTCATATATTTTTTGCTAAACCAAACATGTACACAGAATATTTGTACTGACGCTACTTTTCATATTTTTATTGGCGTTTTTACCTACCACCAGTGTGAAAGTCCAGTAAAAATCAGCAAATTTTACTGGACGTCACTTAAGAACATCCACTATAAATATTTATACCGGTGGTTAAGAAAACCGCTACTGTAAATTATTCTTCATAAATTACAAATCAGGCTTAAAAAGTAGCAAAAAATTATCTGAGGCAGCCCGTTCTA